GTGGATAAGCAGGGGTTAAATACGACGGAAGAGCTGAACATTTCGACTGACATGGCAGAAATTGTCTCAAGTGTAGTCTGCCTACTCACACGGGGGAATACAAACGAAGCCCTGAAAACAATATGAATATAATATTTTAGACACGGATATAACGCATTCTCATTTCTCGTCGTCGTATTTATTTTCATTTTTGCTAACACGTGAACGTGCAGTGGTCCTTTCCCAGCTTTCATTACACACCAAGATGAACGGTAACGAAGACGCAATGTAGAGGATTCACTGGCCGGTCGATGGAAAGCTAAGTGAAGACATCATTGTATAATTACATTATATTGACGTCATCTTTCAAAAATTCTCTGGTCAACACTTATTTTAGCAAAAGTAATCTTTGCTACTAACATATATAGATGTGTGTGTGTGTGTGTGTGTGTGTGTGTGTGTGTGTGTTTAATTAATGAATTTTATTTATTGACCCGACATATTCTTATTAAATACGGATTTAAATATAATTCTTTAGAAATTGAAGTTTACGTTTCGCATAAAATTTTAAAGACAAAATAGAATTTTCTTTTAGAAATTTTTGTAAGTTGACTTTTCTTTGTCCATTTTTATAAGATTTTCTCGTTCAGACCGATAGACGAAATAAAATATTGCTTTAAATTTGAACGACTAAAAAATAAAACCTTTTTTTTTTGTAAAATTACATATATATATATATATATATATATATATATATATATATATCAGTAATTATTTAAAGAGAGAGATTGATAGATAGATTAGATAGATAGATAGATCTTCAAAACAATCTATTTGAATTCGGATCTTAATAGGATATATGAGTTTTGAATTTTTTTTTTCTTTAAAGGACGTTTATTAGAAAGTTAAAGGAAAAGAGTAAAATCGACGAGAATAAACCATTCTTTTTCGAAAAAACTCTCTTTTAAAAATGTATGCAAGGCCGAAAAATTTTCGGATGAAACAAAACTATTTTCTTTTAAAACATATTTTGAAGTTTTGTTTTTTTTATATTTTCTGTTGACTTTAAAATATTACAATAAATAATTTCTACTTTCTTTGAGAAAAAATAAACTAAATCCTAAATTTTAAACAAAATTTATATTTTATATATATAGCGCACAGTGGGCTATGATAAGTTTTTAGCCACCCTTAATTACAACAATATTATGTAATAATATTTTCTTTTTTTTTCACACAATACCGTGTTAGTATCAAGCTACTCTAATGTATGAACGATAGTTGACTTATATTTTGCAATGAAAGCTCATGGAAGTAAGAAAATTGGTGAATTTCAACGAGGGCAAATAATAGGATGGCATCAGTGTGGCAAGTCAAATAGAGAAATTGCTAGGTTTTTCCAGTTTAATCATCAAATGGTTAATAATATTCTCAAGAAATTTAATGAAGAAGGCCATTGTCGTGTGGAACAACGTTCAGGAAGACCAAGCATCGTGTCTGTATGAACGAAAAGGCCGCTGAATAGAGAAGTCATCAGAAACCGTCGTAAAAGCGTCAAAGATGTCGCCAACAGCATGGAAATGTCGCCATATGCGGTGAGAAAGACTCTGAAAGAGCTAGGCTATCAAAGAAGAGTTACAAGAAAGAAGCCCTTGATTTCAGAGGTTAACAGGAACTTTCGTATGGACTGGGCAAGAGAATTCGAGAGCAAAGATTATGAATTTTGGCAGTCTGTAATTTGGTCAGATGAAAGTAAATTCTGCCAATATTCGAATTTGAGACAGGTTTATGTTTGGAGAAATCAGAATGAGACTTGGAACACTGAATGTCTGCAGGCAACCGTGAAACATGGAGGGATTGGAGTAATGGTGTGGGGGCGCTGTCTGGTCTGGAGGGAAATCTGAGCTGATTCTTGTTGACGAGCAGTTGAATGGTCCAAAATACTGTCAAATATTAGAGAAAGTAATACTCCCACTATTTGAAATCAATCAGGTTGACAAGAATGTCTACCTTTTTCAAGAAAATGGGGCGCCATGTCATACGAGCAAAATAGCAAAGGCCTAGAAGGAATCGCAAGAAATGCAATGGGTATCCCAAAGTCCAGGCATGGATCTAATAGAACACGTTTGGGAACACCTTCACCGAAACCTTCGAGAGCGTGCAAGCAAAATCACGTCAGTGGCAATCCTTAAAGGAACACTGCTAAAGGAGTGGCAAAATATGGATCAGAGATTGTTGATAACTTGATCAAATCCATGAAAAATCAAATACAAGCATTGAAACTAGCAAATGGAGGACCTGATCTATACTAGTTCCAAATACTGCTTAATTATGTTGAGTAGGGATTACGTAATTAAATTTTGAAATTGAATGTAGTTTATTTCGCCTGGCTAAAACCTTTTCTTAGGCCACTGTATAACTGAAGCAGTCACCGGATCATACAACGTATTCAAATAATTGAAAATAAAGAAGAACCAGGAAATTGTAGACATTAGCTTTATTCAATAGGATTTTTATTATTTTATTCCAATATCTTACGCGACCTTTCCGGTAATTTCATGTTGTCAACACACTTTAAATTTTTATTTATTTAAGTGAAAATTGCTCCATATTCCTTTCGCGGAGTTTCAGGTAATTTTCGTCGTGACCAAAAAGAGAATTTTGCATTACCAACAGATGAGTGAGAGCTTCCCTGTGAAGCTGTAACAATAAAAGAGCAAATAATGACATAATACAGCTGTCAACTTCCCACACTTTTATAGAAGATCATTCCATCATAGAGTATCACATTCTTTAAATGGAAACTTGTCTTTGAAAGAGTTCATGCTTTTTGTTTTGTTTGCTTGTTTCTGGTTCTTACAAGATCTCTTCATTTCTATGATGTTTCAACATATACACTTTTCATCGTCCGTCAAAATTTATTTCTAAAACTGATAATTTCCTTCCGCTGAAAGGTCAAATCCTACACATATATTAATTTACGTGGAAGCCACACAACAAAGCGACTAACATAAGCAAACTAGTGAAAATTATTTTAGTGCTTGATTTAGATGTTTGGAGTATGTATTTTTTTTTTTCGTTTGTGAAAAGTTTCTCTGTTTAAAATATTACTGAACGATTATTACTAATGATTTTAACGTTTCTTTTACTGGCAGATTGATCCTAATTCTAAATAATTATTTGATCATCCGTCTAGTATCTTATATTTCTGATTTTACATATCTTTCTATATTTCCCATATCTCCTCTTCCTCCTCCTCTTTCTTTCAATTATTATTTTATTGATCAATCTCTATTGTTTTAATCGTCTCCTGAAGGGTCATCCTGTCAACTCTTCCATACCAATTGATCTTGAATAATCTTGAAGATATATTCACAACTTGAAAGCCATTTAAGATTAATGTTAAATAAACCTAGGTACTAAATACTTAAAAAACAAACCCAAGCTTGTAAAATCATATCTCCTGTATCATTGAACATTTTTTTTCTCCTTGAGTGGGAGGGCACAGGGGAGAATGGGTAGCGGCTCGGATCGAAGAATCGGAGAGGCGAGTTCGAATTCAAATTCCAGTCGAATCCATTACATTCACTTACGTGCTAATACCCTCGGGACAGGTATGAATCCTCTTCTTCTCCCCCCAAATATGGGTAAATAACAGGACAAACTGGGTTCTATTGCCTTGGATGGCAACTGGCCTACTGCCGAAAGAAATGGCAATGCAACCTACTGCGGGAAAAAATCTGCCTCGTCAGTCATGTATCGAAATATACATGATCGCCTAAACACGAATTACGCATGGCACATAACTGGCTGATCTCCAACAAGAATCTTCAGATAGCTCTCTGGACCCATTTGATTAAGTAAAAGGAATTTGTTTTTTATTTTCGACATTAATCTTCCTGGACGTATATAAGTATATAACATCTGTCATTTGTCAAACAAATTTCTTTCCCCATGAAATTTTGTCTTTTCTCAGCAAACAGCTGTTTCAGGTGTTTTTTGCAGTCTTTGAGGAAGCACCTTTATTTTGTATTGAGGCAGTTTTATAAAACTCAGAATAAGCCGTAACGCAAAGATGAAATATCTGTTATTGATGAGAGTTGAATAAATAAATAAAAAAACTTCACAGCCAAACTGTAACAACTTTTGGCTGGCCGTCAAAGAAACGTGCAATCTGATGTTGTTCTACTCGAGTATTGTTCATTTGCTAATATACGAACAGCTGTCGTCAAACGACGCCTTCGGTTCATCTAGTTGAAAGCAGTACTTGTTCGAATCAATCGTTTGTTTCTCCGAAAGAAGCTCATATTAAAGGACACATTTCCGATCCCACACTATACACTCTTTCCTCATTATGTGCCCTAAAAATATCAGCTGTTTTTTTCTGGTGCCAATTATAAGTTTCTCAGCATCCTTCTGTAGAACCACATTTTGGTGACATTAGCATAATTAAAAATATTTACTAAATTTGATGTCTTCTTGTCAAGTATTGATTATATGGTTTTTATGACATAATTTCTTATGCCATTGAAAAAATAATTATTTTTGGTTGTCGTGCCGATTGGACAACTCCACAATTCTCTTTATGGATCCAGTTTATTGGTTAAAATTCATTGATTTTATAACATAAATTTTCCAACAAAGATCTATTGATGAATTACACAGCTGTAAATATATAAGTATGGCAATTAGATAGATAGATAGATAGATAGATAGATAGATAGATAGAATATTTATAGACGAAAGTTATTTTAAAGTTTCGTATATCAAAGAACTAGACATCTAAATGAAAAATATATTCATTGCGCGCCCAATTAAAGTCATCCACCAATTCTGGGACATTAATTCACTTCATGTTTTGTTTCTCCCATACTTTCAACCTTCACCAGAAACATAACGAACAAAAAACTCGATCGGTTCACAAAATCAAATGTTTTATTCCTGAAAGATTATCAGCCCCGAAGAGAAGATGTCGCTCTTTCGTCTGAGTTGTAGCTTTGATTAACTGGAAATGACGAAAATCAAATTAGTTCCTACAAAAGAAGAAACCAGCAAGATTAAAATCAAGTATCTACTAAGACATGGACATCAACAAGAAAAAAAAAATCCCAACATTCGAATTACGAATTGGAAATATAAGCTTGGAACGGGTGCGGAAGTTCAAATATCTGAAAAGCGTTTTAACAGAGGACGGAAAAATTGGCACCGAGATCCGAAGTCACATTGGACTAGCGAAATTTTCGTTGGAATCAAAGAGTGCGAAGACGCTCTGCTTGGCATTGTGGCGAATAAACCGAAAATTTCGACGGAAGAGATATCAAATGGTGATCTCAACTGCCTTTCAGCATCTTAAGAGACTTAGGTTCACGTCGAAAAGGTGCCATTTTTATATATGTGTGCGTGTATATATATATATATACATATCTATATATATACATATATATGTATGTATATATATACATATACATGTATATATATGTATATATGTGTGTATATATATATATATACATATATATATACATATGTATATAAATATATATATATATATATATATACATATATATATATATATATACATATATATATATATATATAATATATATATATATATATATATATATATATACATATATTTATATATATATATATATATATATATATATATATATATATATATATATATATATATATATATATACATATTTATATATATATTATATATATATATATATATATATATATATATATATATATATATATATACATACATATATACATATATATATATATATATATATATATATATATATATATATATATATATATATATATATATATATATATATACATATATGTATATATATATATAAATATATATATATATATACATATATATATATATATATATATATATATATATATATATATATATATATATATATATATATATATATATATATATATATATATATATATATATATATATATATATATATATATATATATATATATATATATACATATATATATATATATATATATATATATATATATATATATATATATATATATATATATATATATATATATATATATGTTTACAATGATGTTTACCTTGTACAAGTACATGATTAAAGGGAACAGTTTATGGGAATATATACATATATACATATATATATATATTAAGTACCTCCACTATTTCGGCATAAATTTTCGATACCTAAGTTTAAAATGAATTTTTTACAATGAAAAAACATTCTTGAAGATTTCATTTTAGCTTTAATTGAAAGTTTAATAACTAAATTTACGATTTCTATTAATTAAACAATTCTGGTGTATTTCAGATAGAAACTATATACATTTGATTGTCAAATTTAATTTCAAATTTTTAAATTTTCTTAAAAACGGCCATTTTCTTAATTTTAAGAAATTTGTAAACAAACACAAATTTATCGATTTTTAAAATATTTAAAAAAAATTCTGACACGTTATTTTAGTAAAATTAAAAAATTTAAAGTTAAAGTAATCTGATTTCAAAGAAATCTGTGTTACTTATAGCATAAAAAAATAATATACAACCAATTATTAACGAGCGGTCCCGTTCATCTTTTCGATCTCATTGATAATGATTGATTGACGAGCTGATGACAGCTACTACTGATGACCATAAATGACATAATTTTTAAAAAAATTATTCTATTTGAGTATGACACACACAATACAATACATAAAATAAAATTATTTAGTGAAATAGTAAATGAAAAAAAGAAAAAATAATTTAAAATTTAAAGTTTACACTTTTGAACGGAAAATACGACTTATAAGAAACAAAATGTTTTGAAAAGGCCACGTAAAGGGACAAAACCCTTAGATCACGTGACCTTTTTATAATAATGGCAATTTCTGTATATCATACATGGAAATAAGGAATGTATTAAGTAAAAATATACAACATAAAAAATTATTTTTAAAAAAAGTAGCTCAAATAAATTTATTAAACTTAGCATTTTTGGATTCGTAAATTTTTTTTCTACTTAATTACTACATAATATTGAGGAGCCCTCCTAATACAGAGCTTTACACGATGTTAAACTATTATAAATTATTATAATTAAAATTTCTTAAAAAACGAAAAAATTCTTGTAAAAATTCATCAGAAAAAAATTATTTCTTCAGACAATAATGTCCTTAATATTACTTATTTACAAAAGCAATTAAAAGCTTTTCTAATTAAGTAATATCATAATTTTATTGGATTCATTATTTTTCAATTCAGACAAGATTTTCAGTTAAGTAGCTCAAATTTGTGAAAGAAAAGTAGGTTATTTACCATCTCCAAAGACTCCTTCTTTTAACAAAAAATTAAAATTGAGGAGCCAAAAAGGTTTTGGGCGAAATTTCATGAAATTAACTAAGTGGGGGGTAACATATTAAAAAAAAAATATTTTTTACCAAAATTTTCTAAAAACAAAATATTCGAAAAATAATTTCATTCATTTGTGATTAAGTCCTGAAAATTTCATTAAGATTGGACAATTATTTTATTTTTACAAGAATTTCCAAATCAATATGTTTTCAACGGTAAAAAAACGCAAAAAAAACAAAAAAAATTTTAAACGTCGCCGCGATGACGTAAACAAAGACGACTTTAACCAAAATTTCGAACGTGTTAGAAAATATTAAAAATTTCAAAAAATAATTAAAAATACTTTTTTTTCATCTTAATAATAACATAAAATTTTGACGATAATACTTTATTTTCTTTAAGTTTTGGCATTTTCATTTACGCTATGCTGTTTTTTCCACGAAAACAGTGGACATATAATATAATATATATATATATATATATACATATATACATATATATATATATATATATATATATATATATATATATATATATATATATACATATATATATATATATATATATATATATATATATATATATATATATATATATATATATATATATATATATATATATATATATATATATATATATATATATATATATATATATATATATATATATATATATATATATATATATACATATACATATATATATATATATATATATATATATATATATATATATATATATATATATATATACATATATATATATATATATACATATATATACATATACATATATATATATATATATACATATATATACATATACATATATATATATATATACATATATATATATATATATATATATACATACATATACATATACATACAGATATATATATATATACATACATATATATACATATACATATATATATATATATACATATATATACATATACATACAGATATATATATATATATATATATATATATATATATATATATATATATATATACATATATATATATACACATATACATATATATATATATACATATATATATATACATAAATATATATATATATATATATATATATATATATATATATATATATATACATATATATATATATATATATAATATATTCATATATATATATATACATATAATATATATTTATATATATATATATATATATATATATATATATATATATATATATATATACATATATATATATATATATATATATATATATATATATATATATATATATATATATATATATTTACAATGATGTTTACCCTGTACAAGGCCAACTCGAAGTACATGATTAAAGGGCAGAGTTTATGGGAATATGTGGTGAAAATCACGGTTGACTTAAAGCTTGAACAAGATTGTAATGATCGGGGAAATATCCTCTTGGCTGTCACCTTTCTTTAGAAACAAATTTCTATTGCTTCATCTTCATCTTTTTAAGGATTAGGGAAAGACAGATGACCCTTAACCGATAAATAACCACGCATGTTATTGGAAATTACTCGTGGGATCAGTTGACAGTCACAATTCCCGAGTCGGCGATTAATATCCGACATCCACAAAAAAAAAAAAAATGAGGAAGGATGTGAAAGGTTCTTTCTTTTTATGTGGCATATCCTTTCAGGACGTAGGCGCTCATGGGTCTCCACCTCCCTCTATCCCTTGCTGCTCTCAACAAGTTCCTTCCCTCTGCTTCCTCCTCCAGACCACGTTCTATCATCCCCCTGAACAATCTCATCAGGTATGACATGCGCTGCTTTCATTTGTCTCTCTTTTCCTCTATTCGACCCGTGAGTATCTGATTCTTCAGGCCCTCCTCCCTCATTATATATCCCTGAAACTTCAGCTGCCTCTTTCTGATGTTAAGTATAAGCCTTCTTCTTGTTTGTAACCTAAGACCTCAGTGTTGCCCACATACTCGGTCCATGATATCCTTAGCATCCACATCTCCGTCGCCTCGAGTCTCTTCTTCATCCTTGAGGAAATCATCCAACATTTACTGCTGTAAAAAAAATATGTCGCGTAACAGTTCAGTATTCTTTTCTTTGTTTCAAAAGAAATCCTGCTGTCTCGCAATACTCTGCCCAGCTTTTGGAATGTGTCCTTAGCCATCCCAATACATCTACGGATCTCAGTGTCGTACTTAACGTCCTCTGTCAAGACGCATGCCAGATATTTAAACTTCTGCATCTGTTAAGAATCAGCAATTAACAGTAAAACAAGCGGATTTCCGTATGAAAAAGAAGTTCTTCCATCCATTTCTTTTTCAGTGAGAATGTTTGCCAATAAGCGAACACACGTGACCCGAAACTGATAGACAGTAGTAAGCCAAAAACTTTGAAGTCTCTCTCTCTCTCTCTCTCTCTCTCTCTATATATATATATATATATATATATATATATATATATATATCCTTTTCAGAGAACTACTCGGTAAAGTTTTCTTACCTGGGACAATAAAAGTAGCCAAGGCAGATCGTATGCGTTGCGATATTTAACACTACCAGATAGAAAAAAAAAAAAAAAAAGTTCGCCTGTTAAAAAGACATCTGATTTGATTTTCAGTTAGAGACAATTCTAATTTTGGTAAGATGGTCTCAAGAAAGCCGCGGAAACTAGTTTCAACATCTCCTCGGTTACACCCGATTTTGAGCCCATGAAAGTAAAACAAGTCCAGTGTTTCAAAATTAACAACGTTTCAATGGAAGCTATTTATGCAGTTGGGATATTAGCAGGAAACGAAATTCCTGCTATAGTAACGCCTGCTTAAGTAACATTTCCTTCCTTTTTTATTTCTTAAACTACTGGTCACAAAGCAGCACAATTTTTGCAGACTCTTTATGAATAATATCACTGTGTACTAAGGATCCGTTAGCGCATGATGGATATTTTCGCTTGATTAATTAATCATACTTATGGATTAGTCATATTTCCAGCTATTCAGTGGATAAATTTGGGGATAAGTGGAGTGGGCTATGAAGCACAAGGAAATTTTTTCCAATTTATTCCTTCAAATCTTTTGAGTGTGTGTGGCGGGGGGCATCTAATACATCGGGGCGTCTTATAAGCAGCGAAATACGGTACATTACAAAGTTCAAAATGCTCATCTTCATGGTTGGCATATGTTCTGCCTTTAAGGAGAAGCATAAGATGATCTATCATTCCTGGTTGCTTTTGATGCAGTAATTTTTATCGTGTGTCCCTTATTCATATCATTAATATTGATAATTATACTTACTGGAAATATGGCGCGGGTGCATTTGGTGGTGCAACCTAACTTACAACATTTAGAGCCTAAAAAATAAAAAAAAGAAATATATTATTTTTTTAAAAAACGAATTACACGTTTTATACATAAAATAGCTCTTCTTTTTTTTTTCTTAAATCAATTTCCGACGAGTTGCATTAATGTTTTGTTTTGCTTTTTTATTTTATTTATTTACAGATTTTCAATAGAAATCTACTGGAGGCCCAGTGGATAGCGGCTCGGACTGAAAAAAAAAAAAGAACCGAATTCGAATCTTAGTCGAGTTTCTTACATTCACTTACATGCAAGTACCCTTCTTCTCCCTCTATCTCCATATGGGCAAATAGCACGACAGGCTGGATGGCAACTGACCTAGGAGAAGGATTACTTTGAATTTAAAATCTCCAACTATGTGATAAATAGCTTCAACAACCCGACAGATGATGGAGATTGACGTTGCATTTAAATTTTTGAAGATTGGAGTTATCATGGAAGCAAGTAAACGGAAAGGAGTTCCACAGGTGGGAAGTGCGAGAATAGAAATTGTTGGAGTAGAAGGGGTGGTTGCATTTCAACATTAAACGAGTGAGACCTGGATGCCAATCTAGTGACACGCTTAAATTCACTATGTAGCTCTGCCACGTGTAAGAAATTCAATTATACATCGTAGGACAAAAGGAACTTACGAAAATAGATATTTTATTCAAGATATATAAAAAGAAATTTGGACACCTCGAGGTGGTGTAATGGTTAGCAAGCTTGTCTTGCTAGGAAAATTACTTTTGAGTAGTGAGTTCGATTCTCACTGGGTACCCTCTACTTTCGGCCTTTTGCCGCTTGGAAAATCACTATATATAAAGAAATTCTATAAAGGTATCTTCTATAACAGCATTTTTTTTTTATTTCTGTAGAACGAACATTCGGTTAATAGAGAAAAAATGTACCTTTGGAGCAGTTGCTATCATAAGAACAATATTTCCTGCATTGAAACCAAAAATCGCCAGCAGATTCATGTGGGCAGCTGCCTGTAAAGTAGAATAAAATCTGTTTTCTTATCATGAAGACATGGACATTAGGGCAGGTCGATTTTGGAACATTTGTTTTGCACTTAATTGGAAAGTTGTGATTTCACGATAAATAATGATAAGATAATATAAATAATGATAGAAAAAACTCTTTTCCAAACAGTTTATTGAGGAGACGAATTTAAACATGAAGTATAGGTTAAAAATCGTTGCGTTGGTATTTCCTCATAGCACAACATTATAAAATTTAAAAAGTTACAAAGACGCGCTGAAAGAGTCACTTAAGCATTGTGGCATTCCCCATTCCACCTGTGAAGAGTCTGCTGAGGACCGTGCCAACTGGCCCTCCCTTGTAAATCAGGAGTCTCTGATTTTGAAGAGAAAAGAATCAGGGACAAATAACTGAGATGCCATAAAAAGAAAGATCAAGACGGTTCTGCCTCCCACCCTGGTTCAAAACCCCAACATCCCATGTTAGAACTGCAACAGATTTTTCAGGGTGAAGATCAGACTTATTAGTCATCTCCGCACCCATCTCGCCCCTCAGTGATTCGAAGTCAAGGTCATCTCCGCTGGGCCGAACGAATGAACGAATAAAATTTATTATTTGTTGAAGCTTTACAAATTATATAAGGACAAGATGCACGGCACAAGCAGATTATTAGCAAATCACTGCGCCATCAAATAAGACCTTCGTTTACTTCAAAAGGAAATTATAATAAACAATTTAGCTATATTATGATGTAATGTGTTATACAATGCAATACTTTTCGTATGATTTTCAATAAACAATGCAAATTTAAAACATTTTGTCTTATAATTTGTGCTCAGCAGTATTATGTTGTTATATACGTTTCATCAATTTTGTTATTTTTATTAATTATGACATATCAAATGATCTAAAAAATCTTATTTACTGAGTAGTCATTTTTGTAATCTTTTGCAATTTCTTACAGTTTTTTCTTATCGAATACAGTAAAAAAAATTGCATATTTTGGTAATGGTGATTCTTAATAAAGATTCTGTTTTGAATATATTTTCTATTCAATTTATCTAATACAAAGATATCAATTTTATTTTGATTTATTCTTGAAATAGTAACACTTTAAGGTTAATTTATTACCAAAAACGTGCGGAAATAAGGTATTTCTGTATAATTTTCGGACGATATTTCAAACTAAATACTTAAAAATTGGTACAATTAAAAAATCTAATGTTTGATATCAGTCTTTAGCACATCAAGTCTCAGCTTTTGCATGGAGTGTAATGTCGATCTTCTCAAAACTCGATGAAATATGAATAATCTTCCATCGGCTATGTCGAATAAATTGCGATGTTTTGCCATATATATTTTATCAATTTGATTAATATATATATATATATATATATATATATATATATATATATATATATATATGTTAATATATCATTTTAATTTTGTCAATATTTTAATATAGATATACGCATTATTTTAGGGAAAATAATTATGATAGGATTGGATTAGACTAAAGTGACGGCTTCCCATACTTCATACTTCCCCAATTCACTCTCGTGTGGTCATGTGTGACGTCATGAGATGCGGTGCGATTTTCGCTTCTAGCGTCTTATATGCACGTGTTTATCGTTGCTTAGAAATCATCTATGTAAACATTGACAGACTATCATCACTGTCTTGTCCGTATATTGCTTAATATGTTGTAATTGACATCTTTGATAATGGTTTATGTAAGCCGAAAGCTTAGATTGTATTTAAAAAATATGGATCAATATTGTGAATTTGTTTCTTCGTTCAACGATAATCTTATTAAACTTATCAGACGTTACAAAAAAAATTACATAAAATAAATAGACAACACTTGTCTATATTATTTAATGAAACGTGTATGAATGAAAAGATGCTGCCTAAATACACACACAATATATATATATATATATATATATATATATATATATATATATATATGACCTGGTATTATTTTTTACGCTACATTTTAAATTTAAATATTCATGATTCCAGTAAGCGATGACATCTCTGAAACGGACTCACAGAACTTATCAGGTGTCAACTTACCAGGATAATCCGGTTCCATGCACTTGACTGTACAGCCATGGCTACAACATTTCTGTGCTAAAATTAAACACAAGAAAATATTTTTAAATTGTACATCTTTAAAAATGAAAATTTTTAAACATTTAATATTATTTCAAAAACTTTAATTTTAAATATAAAAATACTCCTTAAGGTATACCCATATGAAAGAAATAAAAATATATTTGAAATTTTAAGAATAAAAATATAAATCGTAAGATTAAAATGTTATTTATAGATATAATATTTAGAAAACTTATTTTTGAACGTGATGGTTAAAATTATAACTTTTAAAAAAATTAACATAGATTCTTAAAAATTATAACGTTTAAAAAATTAACTTTGACTGTTTACCAATGTGTTGACTCATACTCCTGACTACATGTGACACTTTCAATTTTACTGTCATCCATCCAATACAAGGCCCAAGTGTCACTGGATGTGGATGCTCTAAGGGCGTATAAGGAGGGAGTAAGGGTTGCACATTATGAGGACAGGTGGGACAGATAACTATTGATGTTCGACTTGAAGAGGTTAAGATTATATTAATCAGATAAGCTGTCTTCTGAGGAACTTATTCATTACCAGTGGAAAATGAAGGGGACTGGTGATAAGTCGACTCAGTGTACGTAAAATGGTGGGTTCTAGCCGTGATAATATAAACTGGAGGAACATCTACCAAGAAAAGGCAGGTACATCAGCGAGTGGCCAGCATTGTTCCGTTTTATTGAATAACAACACCAGAGTTTCCAAATACCGATAAAATTGTGGGACACAAACTCATTACTGAACTTGAGAGCTGTCTCTATGCCGAGTAATTGTTAACAGTCAAGTCTCGGAGACTGTTTCTACTAAATTCGGTGCACACTTACAATTCACTGCGCAATCTAAGTTTAATAAGACTTCAAACTAATATTTTTGCTGGGCAATACTTGGCAGAGTCGATTTCTGGACAGTTATTACGAAATATCATGCGAGATTTTGAATAAGTAACAATTATTTATTATGAGTTATTACGATATACTATGTGAGATATTATCTACCAGTTTTCTAACTAAAATTGGTGGTAAATATATATGTTTGTATTGTAAATATAACTTGCGATATATATAATAATATATTATAAATTAACTGATTTAAATTATGTTTTTTTTGCTACGCAGTTCTAACTGTTCGCTTGAGGATGAAATGGAACTGATATCTTCAATTTAATTACAAAATTAAATTCGAAGTATTAGCTTCCATTTTTGA